GAGATGACATCCACACAACATGCTGACTATTATCCAAGTGGGAAGCAAACATGCAGATGCCCAGATATTAATACGAAGCAAGCAGTTCATTCAATTTGATGCAATTCTGATCAGAAAGAGAAAAAGCAGGCTAACCACTTCATCATCAAAGAAATGTTCATGTTGAATACAAACTATCTGAGGATGAAGCTTCAGTCCCCCTTCCTCACCAGGCAGTCAGAACAGAAGGTGGAAGAGAAGAAAAGATGGGTCCAAAGTCCACAAGGTGCCCCCTGAGGCTGATCCTGCTCAGAGAAGGTGGGGGCAGTAGATCGTCTGCTGGGACTGCCACATCAAAATTCCCTGGGCTGGATGGCTTAAAGGAAGGACATTTACTTCTAACAGTTTGGAAAGCTGGGAAGTCCAAGATAAAGATCCAGAAAGATCTGCTTTCTGCTGAGGACACTCCCTCTGATTTTCAGATGCCACCTTCTGTCCATGTCCTCACATGGCCTTTCCCCACTGCATGCATGGATGTTGGGGGTGGAGGAGAGCTCAATGGGGTCTCTTTTTATAAAGACACTAATCTTGTTGAATCAGGGCCCCACCCTTATCATCTCCTTTAACCCCAATTACCACCTTATATGCTTTATCTTCAAATGCAGCTATACTGGAAGTTACAGATTCAAGATAAGAATTTCTGAAGCACAATTTGCTCCATAGTAGGTGGACTTTGGGGACACAGCCAAGGCGGGCATGAAGGCAAGGCTGGGCTTCTAGTCTCAGAGCACAGAGCACAGAGCACAGAGGTGGTTCCCACAACTCAGGACACTGGCAGCTCCTCCCAGGTAGTCTAGGTAACACAGAGACCACATTCCAGCCTTAGGGGCTATTGATAATGAAACATTATCACTCCTAAGCTCTCCCAGTATTTCTATGATCAGGCTTAGATGTTAGGGTTATTATGGGGTTTGTCTGCCATCTAGTGTCAGGATTGTGGCTTAGCATCTTATATAGGATTGCAGATGCTGAGTCCCAGTGAGTCTTGAGTGTGAGTCTTTTCATGGATATTAATGAAGGGGATCTCAGGCCAGATTCATCCATCACTAGGCCAGATTCACAAAATAATTTCTGTTGTCAGTAAACTAGTTACATAATTGAGGACAAATGATATTCAGAAAAGTTATTTGTGACAAAAATATTATGAACTAGATTCTATGACCCATGTGAGATGTCAAAGGTTTTGGAAGAAATGATGGGCCACGAGGAATCCTGTAGGACCTAATGGCAGGGGTGGGAATGGGAAGCACTCAGTGCTGTTCTGGAACTGTCATCCCAGTCTCCTTCCTCCCATGCAACAAACCCTTTCAGGGCAGCTCTGAGGACCACTGCAGCTAAAGAGGTGAAAGGGGGATCTTCAGATGCCCCATTGTCTGTAGTCATTGAGCCTGTGTCAGGATCACCTCTGCTTGCATTTCTAGGATACCTGAGGTGTTTATCCAGGTACAGCAGGCAGTGTTAGGTGTTGGTAATCACATGGAACATCCATTATGTTCCAGGAGAACGTGCCCATTGTCATGTTGATTATTCAGTGAGGTTGTTTCTTGGTCAAAGTGAAGTCTCATGGAATATTCAAAAACATGACATAAATTCCTCTCGAAGGTGGCCATGATAGTCCCAGCATCTAATTGTGTGACACATATTTAGGTGTCCAGGAAGCAAACTATTGTCATAGTCCTTTTCCCTGCACAGGGTATCCTTTAATAGTTCAGTCACTCAGTTGCTATTTTCCTGACCAGGTAGCTGGGTTGTTGACAATGGCCTATGATTTAGTGGAAATGGAGTAAAATATAGTGTAGGGGCAGTCAGCATGGCTACTGTCATTGCATGTAGTTTGGCCCATTGGGCAGAATGTCCATGTTCAGTGTCAGTCAAAAGATGCCATTCCCTGGCTTAATGGTGGTCACACCCAATGGACCCACTGGCATCTGTTTTGTACAGTCATCAGGTCCCCATGCCATACCGACACAGGCATGTCTCTGAATCTTTGGCTCATTGTGGCCAAAGGAGAAGCTAAATTGTTCCGTATGGGTCATTCGTTCACTTCTAGGAGACTTGTCATTTGTTTATGGGCATTCATTCATTTGCACATGGATCCTATGGGAACTGGGTTAGGGCGAATTCTGACTGCATCGTTTCCATTTAATAATTTGGATCTGTTGGGCCTTTCCAGCTTTATTGATTGTGTTTGTAGGCACCAAGGTGAGAATGGGTAGTTAAAGTAGTGGTGTCATGCCTCATACTCTAGCTCTGAGACACTCAGCCCCTATCAGTTTCCTACAGCAAGCAAGGAGTGGCTTTTCAAAAGAGGCACAACTGGTGTCTGCTGTTGACACAGGCTTCAGTCTGCATGCATACAAATGGTGGACACCTGGATTTCCATCAAGGAAATAGGCTCTAAAGGTTTAAAAGATGTGCCTCAGTCATGCCTTGTTGAACAAATTCCAAGGTACCATTGCAAAGGGCCTCGTTCAAGGATGGCAAGTTTGTTCATCATTTTGACTAACGTGACAAAAAGAACACCCAGGTAAGGTTTGTCCCCAGTACACAAAAATACCTACTAGCCTGTGGGTCTCCTTCTTATTAGTGGATGCCACCGGGACCAACAACGATTAACTATACCTGGGATACCTCCTCATAACTGTACCTGGGATACCTCCTCGGTTTCATTTTCAGGTGGCTTTGACATTCATCCTTCAACAGTCCATCGTTGGTCTGCCAAAGTGGGTTGTTCCACTGTGACACCAGGCTTTGTGACATTTTAATCTTTTTGTAGCAACTATTAAATTAACTAGGTAGTGTTCCAATTTCCATTGAATATGCAGTCCTGCTTTTGCTGAATAAGGTTCTGGGGCTTGGGAAGCTTAGGAGGCATGCAGGAGTGGATATGCCCCACTGTCATGCCTTGAATACTTAGCTATGAGTGGGGATAGCCCCTCAGGCAGCAGTGATGTTCTGTGGCACAGCAGTAAAATGTCAGTACCTCTGTTGCACTCTGCAGTGAGAGTCATGGTCACCAGTTCCCAACATGCCCCAAAGGGAATGGTGCACATGCAGATCAGGACATGAGCACATACTCACCACAGGATCCTCATTTGTCCTGACACCTTCTGATGTCATCAGTTTAATTTTTTCTGAGGGGACCTGGGAATATTGACAGGTGGATTACAGCATATAAAAATCCCAGAGAAGTCTGAATTCCTTTTTTTCACCTTTTATCTTGAGAGGAACATAGTGCCAGTAGTCTCTGGTGGAGACCTTGGCCCTATTCCTTTGTCTGAGCCTTTCAGACAAAGATATTTGGGTCTGCAATGTGGCTTAACCTAACAAATACACCAATCAGGCTGCATAAGACTTCCCTGGCCTTTTTCATGTCTCTTTTGTAGAGAGTGAGCCTACTTTTCTGTGAAGGCCCTTTTTACTCATTTTGGTTCCTCTCAGATGCTTCAGAGACCACTGAGAATATCTTTCTTGTTTTATTTTGGGTGACTCAGGGTCCATCTGCTTACGCAAAATTACTGGGATTACAGGCTTGAGCCACCATGCCAGGCCTGGAATTTTTTTTTTTTTTTTTTTCTGATCATTTTTAAATTTTCTTCTTAGTTACTTGTCTGAACTTTCTGATAGTACCTGACTTAGTTATGGTTTTTTGACTTTCAGATGGTGTGAATGTGATATGCATTCAAGTAGAAATAGAACTTCTAGTATTCATACAACTATTGTATTTTCTCTTTCAGTACAATATTCAATACATTACATGAGGTATTCAACAGTTTATTGTAAGATAAGCTTTGTGTAAGATAACATTGACCAACAGTAAGCTAATGTAAGTGTTCTGTGCACATTTAGGATGGGATAGGCTGAGCTATAATGTTCAGTGGATTAGATGTATTAAATGTATTTTCATGCATAATATTGAAAAATCTGTATTTCACATGGTGTTTGACCACAGATATCTCTGCTTCTTTTTATTCTTAATATCAATCTTTAGTTTGAATTTATAGGGACTGCACATGTGTCTGCACAGCGAAGTGGTCACCAATGATTTGAGACATTTTGCTCAAATATCTGGAGTGTATACATCTATCTTCTGTCAACCCATCTGTGTGTGGTTAAAAAAGCAAACTGCATACAAAATGCAGCCAGTTCCTACCTCCCTCTGCTTTTACTTTGCGCAGGAAACTCCTGGTTCTCATCACTCATATCTATAGCTTCTAGGTCACTAGGAATGTGTGTAGAGATTGTTTCAGCAATATGGGTCTATTGTATCCAGGAATCTGCTATTTACTATCAGCAGATGTACTACTTGCCCCAAACAGGGCATCATCTTGGACTAGCAAAGCTATGGCTTTTTCTGTTCATATCCTATGAAGTTCTCCACGTTTAGCTGGAAAAACAGTGAAGAATGTTTTTCCACTCCTTGGCTTTACTCAAGTCCACCCCATTTGGCAGCAAGCTGCCAGTTTTATTTGCTATCCTCCCATTGGTAAAACTCCAATTCGGTAAATCATGCTGACTGAGCTGGGAATAAAAGGTTGCTGTCACAGGTAAAAGGCTACAGACTTTTTCTGTCCTTACTGAAAGCACTAGTACTTTTTTTTCAACAAAGAATGTGCATCCTTAATTACTTCATGGTTCATCAGTTTTCAGAGTGCTGAAATAGTTTTGATATTTCAGCTTTTAAGTGTGTTTGTTGTTTATTTTTGCACAGAAGATTTATTAAACTCTTGTGATGCCATAAACAGAGATGTCTTCTAAAATGCGATTAATAGCCATGCTGAAATGGAATGAGGTAATGGATTAATATGTTATTTTGGACTTTAGAATCTGAACTCCAAAATAGCCAAATAGAGCAGAGATGCTAAAACTGTGAGGCCACCCCACTAGCTGTCTATAAAGGAAGCAGCTGGTATAATCAGTAAACACTGAGGGTCTTGTTGAGGTTTTTGTTTCATGTTGAATCACTGTGGGTTCCAGTTATTATACTGCTGACAGTAATAAACTCCAACATCTTCAGGCTCCAGGCTGCTGATGGTGAGAGTGAACTCTGTCCCAGACCCGCTGCCACTGAACCTGGCTGGGATGCCAGTGGCCCTGCTGGATGCATCATAGATGAGGAGCCTGGGAGCCTGCCCAGGTTTCTGCTGGTACCAGGCTAAGTAGCTGCTGACACTCTGACTGGCCCTGCAGGAGAGGGTGGCTCTTTCTCCTGGAGACAAAGACAGGGTGGCTGGGGACTGCGTCATCACAATTTCTCCGGTGGTATCTGAAATTGGAAAGAAAACAGAAACACACTCATGTAATCAAGATCAAACCCACTTCCTTTGAGTAGAGGCAAAATTGTTGATCTACATTGAATTTTAACTATATTTCTTGCTGAGCAGAGGTGGCTGGAGTTTTCAGCGATGTCCAAAACCACCTCATATTCCCCTCACCTGGGAGCCAGAGTAGCAGGAGGAAGAGAAGCTGTGCTGGGGCTTCCATGGTTCCCTCTGGGTCCTAACTGAGCAGTTCCTCCCCAGGGCTCTGACCCAGGCATTGATATGGGCTCTGGAAGGTAGGGCAGCTGGGAGGGACATGCAAAGCAGCTGGGGTGGGAGCTGGGCTTCCAGCTGCAGGGACCACCTGCTTACTCCTCTCTGCACTGAGCATCCTGTCCCGCCCTGGTTGTCAGAGATCAGAAAAGTCTGTTGGCTCAGTCTGAGCGTAGAACTTCCCCCTGGTGACCACAGAATTTCACTCCTGTGTCTTTCTTCTCCTCAATCACCTAAATTCACCCAGATGATGTTTGGTACAAGCCTGTTAAGAACAATATAAAAGGCTGTGTTTTCATTTCTCTCTTCCTGTCCTCATATACCCAGTCATCTCCCTAAGTGCATTATTGAATCCATTGAAATGAAGAGTCTGTTAAAACGTAATCTTCCAGATACACCTTCATTTGCTTGTTAATAATGTTTTCTGAGGGTCATGAAGCTTTCCATTAACCCAGACACATACCCTCTTTGAGTTAAAAGTGAAAAACTTCTGTTTACAGTCCCATGTCCTGGCAGGCCCTGACATAGATGCTCCATGGCTTGCCAATTGCTTGAAATTGATCAAGTAACTTCACTTCCCTCTGTCTCAGTTTCCATATCTGTGTAACTGTGATATTCAGCACTACAGTCATCGTCATTATCATAAATAAGCAGCATGGAAAATAGTCTTAAATCGAATCCAAGAATGTTTTATCCACAGTCAAATTAAATTCTAAGGCTTTTTCTTCACTACCTGTACACAACTCTAAAAGTCCTAATGATTTGGTCTTAATCTGTGCTAAAGTACTCAGGCCTTCAATCATTCCCACCCATCCCTGTCTAACACCTTACTTCTCATCATCCATTATCAAAATGCTACACTGTAAAAGGTTACCATGTCCTGTTGCGGTCCTTCTTTCTTATGTAATCTTTATTCTACCTTGTTATCTTTCGTCTAATTCTTGCCGCAAGACAATAAGGATAAGCTACCATCATTAGTTGTGGACTTGCTCCAGTATAATTTTGTCAGTCTTGTTATCTTGGAAATGAAGACTATGTCTTGCAAGGAAACAATGTGTTATCAAATATCAAATGGGTCAATGTGTTATCAAATAAAACATTTTATCTACTTATGATCCAATCACTAATTTAGACTGACTTTGACATATTTTTTAATGACAAAGAAGAGAAGATGATATAAGAGGAAAATAAAATACAATAGAAAACACAAGCTATCGTAACTCTTACTTCATGGATTTTTACATCTATCTTAGACATATGCTCGGTACATGTGTACAATGGTGATCCAAAAACAGAATGCTAACTGGCTTAAGGAATGCCTGTGTTACATTGGGTCTTGCCTGCTTTTCCAATTATGAACAAAAAGCTACAGTACTATTTGTATGAGTATCAAACTTTCTAGCTGCCTGAGATAGAGATAGAGAAGATTTACTGAGATAAAAGCCTTGGAAGTAGTAAAGCCTTGTCCTATGATGTTACAGGTGTTGCTGTGATTGTTGTTAGGAAATATAGTGTGAGTGAATACAGGTAGATTTACAAGCTCTGCTCTTCCTCACACTCACAACTCCCTCTAGAGATCATCAGATGGTGGTACAGGAATCTCTGACACCTCTAAGGAAGTCTTTCTTGCTCTTTCCAGAATGTTTCCCAACGAGTATTGTTTTGAGTCACAGACTAGGTGGAAGTGGGTGTAGAAGAAATGACGAGAGAAAGGGAAGAAGTTTTCAATCCCAGGTAGTTGTGGTAGGCACGGGGAATTGGAATTTTTCATAGATTTATGCCACACTTCTATCATGTTGGGTAGAGAGGCATCACACCAGGCTCATTCTTAAAGGAAACATTACATTATTTTAAAGAGAAAGAATTTCTTGTCAAATAGATGCTTTAAATTCAAAGCTACATTTTTTTTTTTTTTTTTTTGAGACAGAATCTGACTCTGTCACCCAGGCTGTAGTGCAGTGGTGCGAACTTGGGTCACTGTAACCTCCATCTCCCTGGTTCAAGCGATTCTCCTGCCTCAGCCTCCCAGTGTGTTGGGATTACAGGCACGTGCCACCACACGCGGCTAACAATAGGGGGGAGTAGAGGGCCACAAAAGCATGTACACAAGAGACAACTTTTCTTTTTTTACAGAATAAGTCTAATTGTAAAATAGTATTATAATGTATGGAACCATGTTTAAGACAAGTCTCCTGGTGTTCTAATTTATGCTGAACCCAAGCAGTATTGTGATAGAAAATGAGTTTCTTTTTCTTTAAGCTGAATTTGAATTTGCTCCAATAACCTAATAGGAACCCTAGTGATAAGTCCTCTGTGATGATTGCCGTTGTCCCCATTTCTAACAAGGATTTCTACTGGACGCAGTTTTTCTAAGTCTAACAAGAGGGAAGGTGACTGGGCCATCATTGTCCTCTTCTCAGATTTCCACTTCCTGCATAGAAGGTAGAGGTAGCAAGACATTATGAAAGTGGATTACAAGCATTTGTTAGTGAACAAAATATGACTAAAGCAGTATTTTTATTTTTTATTTTTAAATTTTTATTTATTATTATTATTATTTGAGACAGACTGTCACTCTGTCACTCAGGCTGGAGTGCCATGGTGCAATCTCGGCTTAGTGCAACATTCGCCTGCTGGGTTCAAGTGATTCCCATGCCTCAGACACCCAAGTAGCTGGGATTACAGGCGTGTTCCACTAAGTTCAACTTGTTTTTTGATATTTTTAATAGAGACAGGGTTTCACCATGTTGGCCAGGCTGGTCTTCCTGACCTCAAATGATCCATCTACCTTGGCCGCCAAAAGTGCTGGGATTACAGGTATGAGCCATTGCACCGGGCTTTAAGCAATATTTTTATTAAGTAAAGTATAGAAGAAAAAGTGCAAATAAAGTCACAAAAAGAAAACAAAATGTCATTATGGAAAATGATAACTTTAGGGCAGAAAACAAGAGAAGGCAAACCAAGATTCCTGTAGGATGAGCCTCCAATGCACAATCCAAGGAGGAATGTCAAGGCTGAAAACTCTGGAACTTCCAAGTAGTGACCAAAAGTACCAAATTCTGAAAACACAGAGTACCCAAGTATCAGCTTGTGAGTGTCCCCACATCAAATGCCAGAAAATTCTGGAATATCCAGGGGCTGACCAATGCAGAAAATCCTGGAGCCTCAGTGGGGTGGCCAACAGTGAGCCCCAAAGGCCTGGTTGGGGCCATAGAACAATGAGACTCCGGCTTCTTAGAGTCAACAGAACAGGAGAATTCTTACAACCAAGTGTCCTGCCTTAAACAATTGCACAAACCTAATTAGCAGTGAGCCAAAGACAAAAGTAAAAACCAAACGTATATATCAGGGCAGAAAATAAGATAAAATGGCTGATGGATAAATAAAATGACAGAGGAGAAATGGCTACAAGAAGGAGCAACCAGGATGTAGTCAGGTGTGCTATGGGGGACTTCAAATGGACTATCTAGCCAAAGGCTTGATTCCCTGGATCATCTGATATAGGGCAGATGGGCAGAGGGGACACTTACTGGTGTGCAGGAACCAAAATGGTGCCAAGTAGTCTCTAACGTGGGGCCTGCATGAAGATCTCTCCAGGGCCCCCAGCTTGGGTGAGTTGGGGTCCGGTGGGGGAACTGGAGCACAGAGCGGCTGCCCTGCATGAAGCAGTGACTCTGTGGCCACTTGCCCATCCCCAGGGCTCCACTGCCTATCAGGAAAGGTGATGGCTCTTAAAACAGCCTTTGGCCAGTGTTAACAGCTCTGCAATGTTAGCAACTCTGTAGCTTTGATGGCTGTAGCGCTGATCACCGTCTCGCTCTCTCTCGCTGGTCGCTGTCTTGCCACATCTCCGAGAGCTGTCTTGCCCATTGCTGACCGCTGTGTCCATCTTCTCATAAAGTGCCATCTCGTGCTGTGTCTTGCTGTCCTGCTTCTCCGCTGTTTCTGCCGTCTCACTGCCACATGAAACGCTGCCTCTCACCATCTCTAGTGGTGGGTGGCTGACTCAATATTGATGCAAGGCCAGTTCTTGGCTTTGTTCAGGAAGGAATGTAAGAGTAAGCCGGTGATAGAAGAAAACAGCTTTATTGAGGCAGCAGTGTTACACTCTGTGACTAGTCCTGCAGAGCAGGGGTATTTCATAGGCAGAGGGCCGAGAGGAGCAGCCAGGGGCAGTTTTACAGTCACATTTATACCCACCTTTAATCATGTGATAATTAAGGGGGGGGTTGTTCAGAAATAGCTAGAAAGTGGGTGGTGTTGCCCCAACTTCCAGGTGTTGCCATGGCAGGGGCAGGAATTTCCAGGTGTTGCCATGGCAAAGGGCTGTGACTTCTGGATGTTGCTATGGCAATGGTAAACTGTCATAGCATTGGTGAGCGTGTCTTATGGAGAGGTCCTTTCAGAACCCTGTTCCTGTTTAGGCCAGCCTCACATCTGGTCCAGAGTGAAGTCCTGCCTACCTCTTGCCTAAAAAGTAACAAGAAATCTGTAATAAAAAGTTACTCAAAGAAAACCTCCAATTTTATATTTGGTAGTTAGTGGCATGCTACTTATCAAAATTACACAAAGATTCAAGTGAATAAAAGTTACTTTCAGAATTATAATAGTTCATAATGTCCTGTAGTCCAAAAATTAATATGGATATAACAAAACAAAGAAATTAAAGGCTGGTATCTGTTTTTAATATAAAAAAACTCAAGAAAAAAAATGGAATCCATCTGTATATGTACACGTTTAGTGATCACACATTGTAAAAAGTATCACAGTTTTTATAAGAACACTGGATAGGCAATTTTAATTTCTGAAAAATTTATATGAACCATAAGATACGTTGGATCTCTTACCGTAACTTAAAAAATATTTCCTCGTATTTAAATTCTTTACCAAATTTAATGACTTTTTATTGCTTAGAATTTTAGTTGATATAAATAAGAAATGTGTATTAAAAATCTACCATTTTGG